TCCAATAAACACAGATACAAATATAACACTATACAGGTATTTATATGAAGACAGGAGGAAATCCTTTCTTTACCAACGCGTTTCGTCCCCTGAATCATTTTTATCAAGGTAAAGGAAAGAATTTTATTGTGTAACATGTATTTATAAACAGAAGTCAATTGTAGGAAAAACATCGTTAAATTTACAAATTTTTAATTTTAGATCGCTTGAAAACACCTATAAACTTTCATAAGTCAAGGTAAACTATGGAGGACGCTAAGAGATATAATTTAATGTCTATTAAACGAAAATGCGTAAATGTTTAATATTTATTATTCTTATTTCTTTCTTCTAATATAGAAGTAGATATAGGCACATAGACTGCCGTGCACCTTCAAAAGGTCAATGTCTCTCCACAAGTTCCTTTTCTTCGTAGGTTTTATTTCTTTATATATAGTTATTTATTTTTAATGCATTTATTATTCATTATTTTAGTTTAGTTTGCTGTGCAACTTACATTTTCTACGCAAACCGGATGTTGACCGCTCGACGACCCAAAGCAGACTGCATAAAAACCTTTTCTGCGCATCAGTTCAACGCACACATCCGTTTTAACCAAAACAAAATTAATGATATATTCTGACCCATCAGAGCCACTCCCGCTCAAACACCAAAACCTTAATTTCGAGCCGACTAAAAACTATATATATCCAAATTCAAACAAACCCGACACAGACTAGCGTTTGATGTTAACACCGACACGCTGAGAGAAAAACGCCACCGACGACGACAGCCAACACTGATGTCCATTTCGATTCTAATTTCACCATCCACTCTCTGTTGCCTTAGCAACAAAAACAAATAGATGTTACCAATCTTTCTATATACGTAAATAAATTATACATTTGTTTACTCGCACTCAATGTCCTCTTTTATTTGACGCTTGGATTTACGTTTGCCGAGGCGGAAAAAGAATAAAATTCCACAACAAAGCAACAACAACAAAGCAACAACAACAAGGTTCTGTATTCCAGGTTACCCCTTTCTGCCTCCGCAACAAATTCAATGAATTTTCAATAACATGAGATCTTGAGTCAACCATTTTCTTTTAATTGTCAAGTATTTATGTTCATGTATGTTGGTTTGCGAAAAGAATATTTGTGGAACTGTTATGGGACCTTACCCATAATAACATAATGGACTATTCCATACGTAATAAATACTACGCCTCAAGAGGAAGCAGGGAGTTCAGTCTGAAGTCTGGAGTGAGGTCCGTCAGGAATGTGTCAGTCAGACAGTCAGAGCGAGTCAGTCAGTCGAGTCAGAGGCAGTCCGAAACAGAGTCGCGTTCAGACAATTACTACTAAAACTGATTGTTCGTACTAACACTTTTCTACTTCTCTGTATATATTCCTGTTTTCTTTTTGTTTTTTGTTTTTTTTTTTTTTTTTTTGTTTTTTAAGCGTTTCACCCCAAGCAAAGCGGGAAGCCACTAGCCACTGTTACAGAACATTTCGAGCGAGAGCAGATAGGAGTGATAGAAGAAAGGATGAGGAGAAGGGTAGTAGATAGATCAAGACAACTGGAGATGTCGATTGACATTACATTTGAATATCTGGAGATTATAGCTCTCAGGAAAACCGGAATAGGGAAGGGAGTTCCACAGGCAAGAGGTGCGAGACATGAAGCTATTAGAGTAGAAGAGACGGCTACATTTAGGAGTTTCGACAGTGAAAGGGTGAGAGCGGGATGCCAGCCTCGTAGGGCGCTTGAATTCATGGAGTCTGGGAACCAGTGAAAGCAGCTCAGCGGAGCAATTGCCATGAAAGTATTTGTAAAACAGACAGAGAGAGGCGACGGCGCGTCTGTGAGAAAGTGAATGTAGACGAGATGCCAGATCAGGGCCAATTATATTGCATATCCGCCTCTGGAGCCTATCAAGAATCCCGAGGCAAACAGAAGGGGCTCCAGACCATATATGGCAGAAATACCCCATGCAAGGGCGAATTGTTGATTTGTAGATCTGGAGGATCGATTCCGGGGAGAAAAATTTCCTGGCACAGGGAGCCAACTTTCCTTGCGGTGGACGAAGCAATTGACTCAATGTATTTGTTCCATCTCAGGTCAGCCGTCAACGTTGTAATATATCTGTGTTATTCCATATCCGTGTTCGATTTCTTCTTTTCGTTTGCCACAGTATAACAGTGGCGACGAGGAAACCAACACTCTACGCGGAGGACATACCTTTTTTATCCGTCGCGCATAACAGTGGCGACGAGCGATTCGAACTCATTCGGTGGAAGAAAAAAACATTTTTTTTCGCCACAGCATAACAGGAACGGATAGCCACGGTCAAATGAGAAATAAATGACAGAACTGTTCAACGAATAGAATTGACAAAGTTTGCAATAAGTAATGACAAAAAAGAAAAGAGCAAAAAATAATATAAAGCATGCAAACAAAATATGCAAGGCAAATTAACAGTAACGAGGCACAGCAACAGTCATATGGCAAAAAGTTCACAAACTAAGAATTGGCGTCAAAGCAAGTTCAAACAAGCTAACATAGAATTCTGACTTTAAAACAAGACACACCGGCACTGTCTCAAGTCAAGCCAAGGACTGTCCTATTTTATTGTTATACCTGACGTACCCATTCTATTATTAATAGACTCTCCCACACATAATAAGTAGTAGTAGCGGTAGCCAGTTGGGCTCAGTGATGTTGAGCGAGTCTGTCGATGTCGGACATTGGAGTATCATCCATCACAACTAGATTTGCTGCGTCATTAACTCTTATTTCAAGTTCCTAACGTTTTGTACGTCGGACCTAATTTAGGACGACTTATTAAAATACAAGCCTCCACAGTGAAAACTACTCTACAACATTTATTAGCGTGGAAAAAAGTATCTCAGAATTCGTGTGCTTCTGACTATAAAAGGGAAGAGAAAGTATTTTGCAGTCATTCCTAGGTATTTACTCTGTCTCCCGACTAAGACGAGTTGTGACACAAGGTCTTTTTTTAAAGGTGGGTACCCGAGCGCGTACACCCGGACCAGGAACAAAAATTGCCCACAGTCCCCACAACCGTCGGTTGCTCTGGTCTTGGTGCAAGCACCGATCCCTCTCTCTGGTGTAATGAGATGGCACGGCCTCAAGCAGCTGTTCCTCAGGGCTGGGCACTTCTCAGTATAATTTTCCCCAGTTGCAACTCTATCCTTTGACAGAGTAGCCCCTGAGCGCACTCTTCCCAAAGACGCAACTGAGAGATGATAAATTGATGTGTTACAAACCCCTCAGGAGAAGGTTTTACACATCAAGTGATTTTCTAAGCTCGGCTTAGATGTGACACAAGGCCGAAAGTATGGGCACCCAGTGAGGATCGAACTCACTACTCAATCGTAACTGATGTAGCAAGACAAGCTTTACTAATCATTACACCACGTTGAGGTACCCATTTTCGTCTTGTTCCCGGTACTTTCTTTTGTTATGAGCCATATCAAAATTCCCAGCCTCCCCAATTTGTGTTTGTCTTCTTCTTTATCTCGGCTGGATAAGACTTTGTTTTTTGGCCCACTCCACTGTTTTTTTTTTTTCTTCCTTCCTCACTCCATTAGTGAGTGTGCTTCTTGATTATGTTGAACGGCAGAATACAATGGCCGCTCATTATTTTGGCGGGTCGACGGGACCTACTAACATTTGTTTTGTTTTAGTTTGAAGATTTGTTTCATTCTTTAGTTTTGATATCCGGTTCATCCCCCCACCCATCATTTTCGTTATTGTATAAATTTTTATATATTATAAAAAAAGGAAAAAAATAAAAAAAAAAAAAAAGACATTATAAATTTTTACATCAAGGGGTGTTTTGTAGGTCCCTTTTCAATATGCGGTATTATGGTACATGTAGGATTGAGAGGTGAAGGACAAGTTCTTGTGGTGATTGAACATAGTGTATTGAATGAATTGGTCGTGATTGTGATTGATTAGGACTAAGACACTTACTGAATACCATCCTGATGTAATGGAATAACTAGTCACCCCCATGAATGACTACACTATAGGTAGTAAGTACCTATAAAGTCAACTGTCTACGAGAGACTTGATGGAAGAGTGTGAGAGAGAGAGAGAGAGAGAGGACGCAAGCACGTCTGACCTTCCAATTGGTGGCACTTACTACTAGATTGATCTGTGTGTATAACTGTACCGTATTTCATATTGTACTGGTTGTGTACAATAAACCTTTCTTCTATTATCCACCTGGTGTTAAGTATTTATTCCCTTAGCACGGAATATAACACATCCTTTCTTCACTTCCCCTTCGGCCATGTGCCACAATTTTTGTAAAATTACAATAGTAAATATTCATTCCTAACAGATTTTGAAACCAACAAAATATTTCTTACAAGAAAGAAGAAATTTGATATTATATCTATATTGATATATCATATAGATATTGGCATGCCGAAAAAAAAATTACCAGCAAATGTTGATTAATACCAATTTTATTGGGAAAACATTAACTTACATAATAAAATCTGACATGTTTTCAAATCTCACTACCGATTTATATTGATCATAACATGGTAAACATCCAAACTACGGCGACTGCTATCAGAGCGAGCGTTGAAAAGGCGAAAAGACGTGGTACCTATGTGTTTTTCATACACAAGGTAAAATCCTTAAATGAGGCTCGATAGAAAGTCGAATTGCAGCTGCCGGAGACGTACGAAGCAATCTATCTGAAGCAGTTCATTTCTAACAATTTCTAAATCTCTATATTCGGATGGTTCCAACTCTAGAGCATGCAATATGAGTTTGTTCACATCTAACCAGCAATGGAAGTCTATTAATATTTATCAATCTATCTATTTATGACTGTTCATATCTATCTACCCATCTTAATCTATCTATCTATTTTTCTATCTAGCTATCCCCATCAATTCATCTGCCTAGCAACTTACCTATGTGTACCAGTGTATTGATATATGTATCAGCCTATCCATGTATATTCATATCTATGAATGACAGCCTGTTCATATCTATCTATCTATCTATCTATCTATCTATCTATCTATCTATCTATTATTATCTATCTTTCTATATATGACGTTCTGTTCTGCACTATCTATCTATCTACATATCTCAATCTATCTATCTATCACCGTCATGTCAACTGCCTACCTACTTACCTATCTATACCAGTGTATTGATATATGTATCTACATATCCAAATCTATTCATTTTTTTTATCTCAGTATCTATCTATCTGTCTATCTATGACAGTCTATTCATATCTATCTATCAACTTATCTCAATCTAATCTATCTATCTATCTATCTGAAGCAGTTCGTTTCTAAAAATTTCGCTTTTCATCTAACTCTCTACATTCGGATGGTTCCAACTCTAGAGCATGCAGTATGAGTTTCACATCTAAGTCTATTAATATCTATCTATCTATCTATCTATCTATCTATCTATGACTGTTCATATCTATCTACCTATTTTAATTTATCTATCTATTTTTCTATCTATCTATCCCCATCAATTCATCTGCCTACCAACTTACCTATGTGTACCAGTGTATTGATATAAGTATCAGCCTATCCAGGTTTATTCATATCTATCTATCTATCTATCTATCTATCTATCTATCGTCGTAAATTCAACTGACACCCTACTTAACTATCTATACCAGTGTATTGATATATGTATCTACCTATCCAAGTCTCTTCATATCTATCTATCTATCTATCTATCTATCTATGTATTCTTATCTATCTTTCTATCTATGACGGTCTGTTCCTAACTATCTATCTATGTGCCTATCTCAATCTATCTATCTATCTATCTATCTATCTATCTATCTATCTGTTGTGGTAGGATCCACCTAATTTGCATAGTGGAGTACCGACCATATAAATATGGTTGGTACCGGGAACAGAGGAAGGAATCAAGAGATTCAACCAGAGACTCTGCCCGACTGCGACTCAGTCAACACATTCTCCAGGAACGGTCTTACCAGGAATATACAAAAGACTATATGTAAATATTGTGTACATTGTCTTGTTTCAATACATTTTGTTCTAAGTACATTTTGTGTTGCATTATTATTCCATGCATTAGTCAAGTTTCAACACTATCTATCTATGGCAGTTTGTTCATATCTATCTATCTATCTATCGTCGTCAATTCAACTGCCTACCTACTTAAATATCTATACCAGTGTATTGATATATGTATGTACCTATCCAAGTCTATTCATATCTATCTATCTATCTATCTATCTATGTATTCTTATCTATCTTTCTATCTATGACTTTCTGTTCATAACTATCTATCTATCTGCCTATCTCAATCTATATATATATATATATATATATATATATATATATATATATATATATATATATATATCAATCTATGACAGTCCGTTCCTATCTATCTACCTAACTCAATCAATCGATCTATCTATCTATCCCTGTCAATTCAGCTAACTGCCTACCTACTTACCTATCTATACCAGTGTATTGATATATGTATCTACCTATCCAACTCTATTTACATCTATCTATCTATCTATCTATCTATCTATCTATCTCAGTCTGTTCATTAAGTATCTATCTACCTCAATCTGTTCATTATCTATCTATCTATCTATCTATCTATCTATCTATCTATCTATGTATTCTTATCTATCTTTCTATCTATGACCGTCTGTTCCTATCTATCTATCTATCTATCTATCTATCTATCTATCTATCTATCAGCCCCACACTGTTACTATTTCTTACTTTGTCTCTGCATTCATCTACCATTTACGCTTCGTTGTCTACGTAACCAAAGCTAATATTCATTCTCTTGATAGTAATTAATCCGAAACAATTCCGTTCGCCTCGGCCTTCATTCCGCGCCATTATTCGTTCTTCTGCTAGAGCACTTGCCTTACCTCAGCCATTAATTATCGCTTAATTATTTTGTTATTCTGATTCCTTCCTTCCTCATAGATTGACTCAGTGACTTCGCTGTCCAAGTTCATAATTTATTCTCATCACGCCGGAGGTTTTCTGTTGTCTTTCCCGATTTGTGACGCTATTGAATCAATTCACTTTCGGTCTCTCTTGAAGGCCTTCGATTCTACGCGGTGAAGTCTTCGAAAACATGGGCTAAAATTTTCAGCACTGCTTGTCTCTGTGAGCAGAGACGGTGACGACGAAACTTAGATTCGATATCGCGCGGCTCTTCACAAATCCACCCCACCTGTGTATCTCAAATTTACTTAGCCCCACGAGTCACGTCTTCTATTCCCAAGTGATAGAAATTGTTCGAGGGATTTTGATTAAACCTAATTACGATTATTCAAATCCCCCGAATAGAAATATTCTCACTGATATATATATATATATATATATATATATATATATATATATATATATATATATATAATAAAAAAAGGCTCAAACACTAATATTCCATGGCTATAATTTATTACATTGGTATCGTAACGAAAATCTTTGTAATCCCTATGGATAATAGCAAGGAGGATGAAATCCTGAGAGCTCAATGATAATTCAGAGCGAATAATTTAATTTAAAGAAAAACAGACCATTTTAAGGCTCCATTTGTAATAATTTATTTCACCAGAGAATTTTATTTTTCTCTTGATCTTCAGATTTCACTTTCAATTGGTGAAACGAAAATGAATTTAAAATTTACACTTTTGACGGGCAGTATTAAGCTTATATAAGTTGAATTAGAGGGTGATGAGGAATGGTGTGAGAGACATGCTCGAGTTTAGAGAGGGAAGGGAGAGTTTTAAAATTTCTTCTTATATTTCTTTCTATTATAATACTTAATATTGAGGAATGTGAGGTAAGGATCAGACATTGACCTATTTAATCGGTCAACTCAACGGAAGTGATATGGGGAAAAGGAAAAGGAGTAAAAAGGGAAAAAGAAAAAAGGGGAAAGTAAAGAGAAAAAAGATGTACTTAGGGTTTTTGGAGGAAGGAGGGGGTGGTATAGCTTTAGCAATTTAGATAAAAACAGATTTTAATGTTTGATAGTAATTTAAATGTTTAAAAACTCCACAAAGAAATAAAATTTAATGCAATTTAAATATTCAACTTCTCAACAAATAAATTTAGGGATTTAATATAAGTCGAATACTATATTAATAAACAACAATATATACATATATATATATAAGTGAACATAGAAGTCAACACTTAGAGGCGAATCTGTTTCATGCTAGACGCAATCGTCAGGCCATGATGGTGGCCTGAGATATTGCATCTAGCATGAAACAGACTATCGCCTCTAAGTGTTGACTTCTATGTTCAATTTCATATTTATACACGCTCTATATTGAGCACTTTATCCCATAAATATAGCACACCTTAAGACTATATTTCTTTAATATTTCTTTATTAATACTGTTACTTTAATCAAAATATATTTGCGAAACATTTACATTTAATTAGAAAATGGAGTTTATCAAGAAACAAGTTGAATTTTTAAGCTTTTAATTGATTGATTTAAGCAAACATCGAAAAAAAGATTATTTTTTTAGTTGGTCTTAAAGATAAGACCATTTAAATAAAAATAGCAATTATAGAAAAAAATAAGTCACAATTTTTTAAATTCTCGACATGTTCATAACTTAGTTACCTCCCCTGAAGCGTTACTGAATATAATCGCAATAAACTCAGGGACCTTGACTTCATTGATCAAAAAAAAATTAAATTTCAGAGGAATTTCAGAGGAACACAGAAATTTTGTCTTTGAAAATGATAAAAATGCAATATTTTCTTGAAAATTGTGTGTGTGTGTTTGTGTACACACACACACACACATATATATATATATATATATATATATATATATATATATATACAATTTTCAAGAAAATATCATAGTTTATATCATTTTGTCATTTATATTCATTTATATATATATATATATATATATATATATATATATATATATATATATGAATTGGAGCACTCTGGCTGATTGGCATTTCTTTTCATTCGTAAAAAACAATGCGCTAGATTTAGTTGTTTCTCTCTGTCAAATGAAGATAGCTCAGTGGCAGAAACTCTTACTGAGCGGTTGGGTTTCGATCCGGGCTTGAAGTATTCGAATGTTTAGTCTCACTGAGGAGCTGTTATACAGCGAAACAGTACTGTCTGCGAATGACATAATTTAGCTCTTGAAAATATATCCCAGTTTGAGTGATATGCTAATTTAATAAACAACAGCCACCTGCATTAATGCAAAGCTCTTCATTAAAAATGAATTGGAGCACTCCGGCTGATTGGCATTTGTTTACATTCGTAAAAATAATATGCTAGATTTAGTTGTTTCTCTCTGTCGAATGAAGATAGCTCAGTGGTAGAAACTCCGGTCGGTTGGGTTTCAATCCGGGCTTGAAGTATTCGGATGTCTAGTCGCACTGAGTAGCTGTGATACAGCGAAACATTGCTGTCTGCGAATGATTATATATATATATATATATATATATATATATATATATATATATATATATATATATATATATTCTAAATGTAGACATAAGAAACGATTCAAAACATGAACACCGTTTTGTAACATGTTGTCACTTATGTCAGTTCCATCTTGATTCAATAACATCGGGGATGACATTTTAAGGGAATGACTATTATGATTATTATGTTTGTCTCTCTATATATATCATTGTGTATGTTTATGTGATGCGCTACGTATTTAAAATTTATTTTTTTTGAGAAAAATTTATTTTAAATTTTACTTTTTTAGATTTTGATTTATATATATTTATATGTATATGTGCGTACCTGTGTGTGTATATGTGTATATATGTAGGTGTTTATATAGGTATATGTATGTATGTATTGTATATGTATGCGTATATATGTATATGTATATATATATATATATATATGTATGCGTATATGGATGTATGTATATATAGGTAGATGTATATGTAGATGTGTTTATATGTGTTTGTATGTTTTGGTATGTATGTACTCATATATATCTGTATATGGGTGTATATGTATGTATATATGTATGTATGTATAGTTAGATGAATAGATATAGGGATACATTGTTTATTTGTTTAGATGGGTGTATGTAATTGTATGGAGATGTAAGGTTTTAGGTATATATGTTTATGTGCACGTATGCGTATGTCCGTATGTATATATGTGTGTAAATGTGTACATATATGAAGGATTGGATGCGTATGGATGTATGTGTATATGTATGTATGTGTGTGTGTATTTATGTATGTATATGTATACATGTATGTGTATGTGTGTATGTATGTGTATGTATGTATATGAGAATATATATATGTATATGATATATATATATATATATATATATATATATTACAATAAACGTGCAATCAATTTACAAATACATGAATTATTCACACAAAACTAATATAAACGCAAACATTTAAAAAAAGAAATTCAAAAATCAAACTCAGCGTTGCATTGGCGCGTTCAAAAATCAATATCTCATTTTCAATAGCATTTCGGATACAATACACATATATTTTCGATGTCCTCTTATTACTAAGAGAAAAAAAGCAAGAACAACATCTATTATATACCTGAAGATGTCTGTATGAACAGACGAAAGCTTGTGTAAAATAACAACTAATACGGCAGAAATTTATATGAACAAGGATCAATTCATTCATAACGGATCTAAGGTTTTTGTGTACTATTTGAATTGTTTGCGAGATGGATGTCTCGCCATTTAAAATCATTAACCTTTTGCATTAGTTTTGTGTGAATATTTCATGTATATATATATATATATATATATGGATATATGTGTATGTGTGTACATGGCATATATATATATATGTGTATGTGGGTACGCGCCTATATGTCTGTATGTACGTGTATATGTTATTGTGTATGTGTGTATACGCATGTGTTTTTGAACATAAAAATATAGGCCCTTGCTAGATTAGATAATCGTTATATTTATTTTTTATATCTTTATATTTGATTTGTAACCTGTAGTCGATATTAAATTTGTCAAATTGTCTTAATTACACAGCGGCCCATTTAGTAACTGCTGTTCAAGTTAACTTTCCTTCCCCCCATCTCTCTCCCCACCCTTTTTTTCTTTTCTTTTCCTCTTCCTCCCTCTTATTCTGATCTTTAACATTAGATCGTCTATATTGTGAGCGTATGTCACCACAAAATGTATCCTTTCCGGTTACATCCTTAATGTATTAGACATCCGACAACATTCATATTTCTCTCATTTAAACCGTCTTTAACTCACCTCTCTAAA